GCATTGTTTTATACATGTCCTTGGCTAGGCCTCAGTTTCAAAATCAGTCTTTGGTCCTTGGCCTTGGCCTCGGAAGCAAGTCCTTGGTCCTTGGCCTTGGCCTCGGAAAATTTCTCAAGTCCTTGGCCTTGGCCTTGCCTCGGAAAATTTTCCAAGTCCTTGGACTTGGCCTTGGCCTCGGGTTGCCAATCCTTGGACACAACACTGCTACATATATACATATATATATATCTATATATATATATATATAGATATATATATCTATATATTTTGATATATATAGATAGATCTAGATAAATATATCTATATAGATCTAGATCTATCTATATATACTGTCACACCCTTTTCCCATCTGTGCACAAGCTTCCATATTCTCAAAGCGTAAAAATCTTTGGACTGATGTCTCAGCCAGTCGCAACACTTTTGACTTGTCCTGATACCGAAAAATTCACCTTATTTATTGAATGACCCTTGTAATTGCTCTCGGTCGTTCACCGGATTTGGGATTTGGTTGAACACTATGGTGGGGCCTTCCAGAAGTGTCACCTTTTCCAAACCAGCGACGTAGTCATGTCAAAATGTTCCAAAAACACCACTTGAAATCACCCCAACAGTCCAAGGACAGAGGTTCGTTTTTTTTTTTCCCCTCACAACGTGCAATTCTTTCTTGAGCATAATTAATTTGTTTTAGCATAGTGCTAGTTAGCTCTAGGCTTACAGACTCCACAGCCGTTCTTACGGGCTCGCTAATAACCTGTAACCCAGCCTGCTCGAATGTCGACTGTAATGGAAGGCTGAAACAGCAATCTATGTTTCTAGAAATGATGGTGAGTTCCCAGTTAGTGAAGATCGTCCAACTCCAGCAAGTTGGTTCGGGCTGAGAAAGTGGGCCAGTTATCTACAAACTGCAGCCCATGTTTTCTGCCAAGATTACGTTTGCAAGAACTTTCGCCTTGACTCCTTTCATTCCGTATGTGTGTGCAATTGAAACGGCAATGTCTAGAATGTAGAAAACAGGTAAGGGACATCTCATCATCCTAGTGTCGTTGGAGCAGACACGTCTCACTATATCTGAGGAGGAAGTGTTTTTGTCTTTTGCTGGTGTCTCGGCCTGTTGTGTGCCAGCTCCCAAAGGTTAGCTTTAATGTCGGGCACTCTGCCCCAGGAATACACATTACCATGCCTGGGTTTTTAATTCTAATATTATGGGTGATAGAGTCAACTACAACTTAAGTGTGGGAGCTAGTAGACAGAGGTGGAATGGGACTGCTTTGCATCTTAACAGGCTTTCCACGATTAGTAACCTGCTAAGGGTTAATACTAACCAGACTCGCAGGATGCATACATTTTCAAGATAAGTGTTGTGTCCAACATGTCTAAGGTGACCACATTATTCTACTTGAACTGACGGACAAATCCACTGAGCAGGGAAAGCCTCTCAGTGAGGATGCAAATAGTGGAAGTGGAACTGAAGCCATAGTTTTTTTTTAATCGCCTCGTAAATGAAGACAGGTCAAGCAAAGGAGCAGACAATGACCAGCAATGTCTGTTTTCATGTCATAAGCTATTTTTAGTACATGCCACGCGCGGGCTACAAAAAAGTAGACATGGGACTGCAAATTATGTCTGGGCTGTATTTTGGACACCACTGTTCTACCTGCTCCTGCTGGGCAGTATCAGCGAGCATGAGCCATATGACCAGGTTTACGCCGATGACACATACTGTAGCTCCACCAATGAAAGTAACTGTTCGTCAAATGTTATGTTTTGCCCTGGGTTGTAACGACAGCAGACAGTTCTGAAAAAAGCACCCCCAAATGTTTGAAATAGCAGTAAATTTGTCCGTCTGCAAAGCGATATCAACGTGTGAATAGCGCATCCACTCTTGATATCGGTCATGGGACGTTTTAGACATGATTTCAGGAATGCCGAAGCATTTTGATCAGCAGTCGCCTGTGGCACCAATTCTGTCAAACTGCCATCAGCTCAGAGACACTGCTCCAGTCAGGGTTTTTCTGCGGGTGTTGTGTACTCTGCAGTCTCTCATGGTCATCAGCATGCAGAGAAAGCTTTCCTTCTTTGTTTCACAAGAGCAGGTCTACACATAACAAAAGATAAATAAGTCCTATATATGTGGTCAGTATAGTGTCAAATACTGGGCCATAAGCTACTTGATGATGGCCCAAAACTTTGGGACTTATTATTGGCACACATCGAAGATGCATGTTTCGCCTCATGTTCGTGATTCCACATGGAGCAATTCAAGAGTAGGAAAGCCTTTAAATTTGGTAGCAGCAGAAATTCCAGCAGAGTAATGTTTTTACTTTTGGTAAACACAATACCAAACAAGTCAGTCTGAATTGACACTGAGATTTTTTTTAAAAAAATGGACATTTCTTGTTAGGCACAACATCCCAATTGGGCTCCATGCCAACCTATCAGAAGGCATCCCTGTATGTCAGAGCCTCCGTCAGGACTCGACACTCGTCAATGAGCGTGGCTTCTTCCATGGAAAGATGGGCTTCCGTCAGGCACTGGGACGACATCAGATAAGCATGGAACAGGTACTATGAGAAGCGTCACATAATTATTTTCTTATTCATTCAGATAGCATTTTAATCACATAATCAAATCCCTCTTAACGAATTCTATTTTTCAGAATAGCTCATTAAAGTTACAAAGTGAGTGAAACATGATTTAAAAAAGGTACTGTATTTTCCACACTAAAAGGCGTACTGGATTATGAGGCGCACCTTCAATGACTCGCCTATTTTGTACTTTTTTTTCATACACTGGGCGCATCGCATTGTAAGATGCAATCTACTATGCATCCACTAGATGGAGCTACACTCGAGGAAAACACCAACAGAACGATCAGATGTCAGTAAAACTTATTTAATAAAGCAGCGACACAGTTCACTTAACCAAAAGGAAGTTATAACATCGACTCGTTAACGTTGAACTCTCTTGCCGCTGCTCTATTCCCGTGTTCAACTGCGTAACCGATCGCCTCAAGTTTGAACTCTGCGTTGTCAGCATGTCTCGAGCAAGGAGCCATTTTGGGCTCGAAATATTACAGTAATGACCATACACAAAGCACATCGGATTTTAAGGCACGCTGTGAGCTTTTAAGAAAATGGAAGGCTTTTAGGTGCGCTTTTTAGTGGGGAAAATACGGTTGTGTTTTATTGTCTTCTTTCCTCTTCACCTTGGGTTACAACGTTTCAGCTCTCCACAGCAAATACACCTTCCATCTCTCTCTCTTCTTTGCATCTTCTGCTTCATCTGCAAGTCTTCACTCACCACATCCATATATCTCCTTTTCTGGTTTTCCTCTTTCCTCTCATGTCTGGCATCTCAATTGCCAGGATCCATATACCGATATATCCGGTGTCCGTCCTTTGCAAGTCCAAACCATCTCAGTCCGACCTCCCTTGCAATGTCTCAAAGTCTTCCAGTTCATTCTTGTCACTACCAAATAGAAATCAGGATCTTAAACTCGGCCACCCCCAGCTCTTCTCCCATCTTCTGGTCACTGCTACAGTCTTTACAACACTTCTGGATGAAATAAGAACTCATAAACAGGGATCCTGCGAAAGTATGGAAAAGAATGGAATTTGATTTCACAAATGTCCAGGTCTTGAAAAATATGGAAAGTGGAACCTCTTGGAATGAAAAGTATTGTTTCTAGGACTGTTATAACAGCTCCACTTTTGAAAACAAAATTATGGATATCAACCCCCCCCCCCCAAAAAAATGTTTATGTGAGAGCCCACAGTATGATACCATTGTCTTGGTGAATACAGTACTTCATTCTGATAGGTTCAGAAACTTGCATGAGTGTACAATATCAGCTGATAATGTACAAACCTTAATTCCACTGAATTTGGGATGTTGTGTAAAAGGTAAATTTAAAACAGAATCATTGCAAATCCTTCTCAACCTATATTCCATCACTACACTATTAATGGCTTATCCACTTGCAGCAACATTTTTCAGAACTTTTCAATGTACCGTGGTAAATTGAGTTGGCCCATCGTTTCCACCAAAAATATTTACCTAATTCCAGAGACGTGGGGGTTTTCTAAGTACCTCCTACCCACTAGGATCGTTCTGGGCCAAACTGGAACTTTGTGGGAGGTAGGCTGCACTGACCAACACTGATTGGTTTGTTGAACATGGGGCTGTGTTGGTTGTGCAACCATTAGCTAACCGCTAACTTCAAGTGTGTTGTATTTACCAGCCATCCTCACTAGTTGCAATATTTAAGAATGGAGTAAAAGCAAATCGATAAATGTATAGAAGAGGTGCAGGCTCTTATGAGCATTTTCAAGGATGAAGACATCCAGCGCAACTTTGAATGACCAGGTTTTACCATCTTATTCCCGCCGAGCTTGGCGAGCGAAACACTGCTCACTATTAAAACAAGTCTGTGGAAGCTACAAAGTTAAAACAAGACATATAAAAAGTTCACGGTCACAACATCCATTGTGGAAATGCCCGCTGAGTGAACAAATGGTAAGACCAACAAGACCCCATGGGTCATTCTTGGACACCGGAGCAATGGACTCTGCTATGGGGCTGCTTTGAAGGTAAACACAAAACAAGCATTGTTATATGGTGGTACCTCTACTTACGAAATTAATTGGTTCTGTAAGAAATTTCTTGACTACAACATTTTGTAAGTAGAATGCGTTTTCCATGTAAATCAGGGGTCCCCAACCGCCGGTCCGCGGACCGGTACCGGTCCGCAGGGCATTTGGTACCAGGCCGCACAGAAAGAACTTGCCTTATTTCCGTTTTATTTATTTCGGAATACGAAATGTGTTTTATTTTGAAAAAGTACCGGATTCTCTGTTACATCCGTCTGTGTCACGCTTGACTCACGTCAAGCCACACTTCTTGGTCACGTGACCGATGACGCTCATAAACAAAAAACGCTGAAGCCCGCAAAATGAGTAAAAAAGCTGCTTGGAGATCGCAAATGACTTCGGCCTTAATAGTACGTTCGAAACAACTGGATCAAAGTTATGGCTGAATACTCTGAGATCGCCACAATAGCACTGTTGCTATTTCCGACATCCTACCTGTGTGAGGTGGGGAGTTTATGCAGCAACAGCGACTAAAACAAAATTACGAAGTAGACTGGACATAAACCACACACTTGAGGTGTCATTGTCTCCTATTACCCCGAGATGGGACTGTCTGATTGCAGAAAATCAAGCTCGGGGCTGTGGTGAGTTGGTTCTGGAAGAAATTTCTTAACTAGAAAATTTTGTAAGTAGAGACGCGTTTTCCATATAAATGCCTTAATCCGTTCCAAGCCCCCCCAAATTCAGACATAAATGTTTCCTAAAGCATAAAAATGCATCAAAATATGTAACAAATACATGTTACAATTAGATTATAGCACAAGAAATGAGAGTTCTGCATAATGTAAAAAAACACGGAATATAGTAAAGAATAAAAATGATGGTTATTTAACTTTAACTGCGTCCTTGTCGTTTTTTTGCCCTCTTTATTCCATGTTCTCTCATGGAAGTTGTTTTTGCCTCGTGTTTTGGAAAGAACAGAATTTATTTACAGTGGTGTGAAAAAGTGTTTGCCCCTTCCTGATTTCTTCTTTTTGTTTCATCAAACAAATTTAAATATTAGTCGAAGATAACACAAGTAAACACAAAATGCAGTTTTTAAATTAAAGTTTTTATTATTAAAGGGAAAACAAATTCCAAACCTACATGGCCCTGTGTGAAAAAGTATTTGTTTCATGACAGGCTACACACTAGTGCAACTACTGTGTGTATTATGGAAAAACTTTTTTCTAACCAAATATACCTATCTGCTACATCTCTCTCTCTCTCTCTCTCTCTCTCTCTCTCTCTCTCTCTCTCTCTCTCTCTCTCTCTCTCTCTCTCTCTCTCTCTAGGATGGCAGTGTAAACGAGAATCAGTTTTCACCTGCCTTAACCGAGATAAAGGGTGACGATATAAAACCGATAATATCGACTTAACTTTTGCCAAGTGGCAGTCATTGCGTTCCATCAAGCATCTTACAACTGCCTTTTAGTCTTCAAATGCATGCTCCACTGTGATCTGGCTCTGGTTGTCCTTTTTGTTACTGCCACTTGCTAGATAAGACGGCTACTGCAGTTTGCCTTCCCCCTAGTCATAACTCATCAGTGTCATCTTCATAAATTACCCTGAACTATGAGGCACTCTTTAAAAGCAAACTAGATGGGCCACACATAGTTCTTCTTACTTATTCAGTCTTCAAGCTTTATCCCTCTGCCTGGGTGATCTGCACAACTCATTTTCTCCTTCATTTGGATACAAATTCTCATGCATCATACACTTAGTGCTTAACATATGCCACCTTGTACTTTAGGTGGCCATTATTGGTATTCTCGTGCCAAATCTGGAAACAAAAATCCTCACTGTTGTAATAATCTTCACATGAGTATTTCAAAACCTAAATTATTAGCGCTGTGACGTTCATCTTGTCTATTATATTCACACACACACACACACACACACACAAAAGACCAATGTCGGGGAAAAGAAAAACCCTCAAACCTATTTAAAATTATTAGTTTGCCCCGGTCACTTGCCACAGCATCTCTCAGTCTCACAGTCACCTGACAGCCTCAATGTTTAGTTTTTGCCCCGCTCCTTCAACAAACAAGCACTTCTTGCTACTCCAGCAACTGTGTCATCTGTGTGATTAACCCAAGTGCATTTTTGTTTCGCACTTCAGTCTTCTTTTTTCTATGTTGAGGTGGAGCTAGAGCTGAGAGACCAGATCAGGCTTTTCAGAGAACTGACGGGTCACCTGCCTCATCATATGGATGGACATCAACATGTCCATATACTGCAAGGTAAGTCAAACATTAACATTGTTCTTATCTATCTCTTCATCCCTTTTTGCCCTTTTTGCAATTACAATTAAAATTGCTTCTGCCACTTAATATTTGAAGAGGATTCATCCAATTTACTATTTTATAGCTGTAGGTGTCTCACGTCCAACATCAGGTCCCTCGCGCAGACACACAAATGTACTGGTAGCAAACAGTACGTTTTATTCTAGCATGTGCTTCACAAAAAAATAAAAATAACAAATGGCATAACATAAAAAGACAAGATACATCGACCTCAGTACATACAATTATATCCACCCCACAGGTGTGGTATATCAGAATGTTGATTACTAGTCAACATGTTTACTGCACAGGTGTGCTTTAGGGTGCTCACGATAATGGGCCACTCTAAAATGTGCAGTTTTATCACACAGCACAATGCCAGGGAGCTCGCAAGTTTTGAGGGACCGAACAATTGTCATGCTCCAATTAAGAACATTGACCAGAGGTGTTGCCCATCGATTGAATGTTGAAATCCCTACCATAATTCGTCTCCATAGGCATTTTACAAAAGCTAATGCTAATTCTCAACTCCAGTCCCCAGTTGGGCTCTTCCACAACATTGCAGTCCAATATTAGCTACAAAATATACATACATTTAAAAAACCTAATGAAACTAGACAACTCAATAAACAATAATCCAATATTACAATTGCAATACATGACATAAAATCTTTGCATTAAATAAATATAAACAAAAAGACATTTTATTTACAGGTGAGTAGGTTTTTGTTTTTTTTTTCTTTGGTCAAGTTTGGATTTTATTTCTGCTGGCAGTGTGATCCACACTTTATCAGAGAAGGCTGACTGTCCAAAAGCTATCCTGCAGAAAGATATTTTGCAGCTTAGGTATGCAGTGCTTCTGGTTTGGCTGTTTTGTCTCTCAACAAATTGCCTGAGTGGCTCAGGTGCTAAATTATAAATACACTTGTAAATTAATTTCAGAAAGCCTAAATAACTAAAGCTGCTAAAGCTTATGAGGTTATATTTGTTGAGTATATGACATTAGTAATGCGTTACTGTTTTGTTAATCCATTACTTTTATAGTTTGATTGTACTGGGAACCAATGGATTTGGTGGCAATGGGAGCAGCTTGAGCCCAAATTGTCCTGCAGTATGAGACAATAGAAAAAAAAAATCATATCATGCATGTATGTAATGTCAAATTAATTTTAAGCAGTTTCGATTCCTTCGTATTGTTTTTAAGATTTCCTGCATATGTGTATTGATTTAAGTTGGGGGTCGAGTACTAATCCAAGGTATTTAAATGTAAATACAGTTCATATTTTTTCAGTTTCTAAATATAAAAATAATTTGGCGCCGGCACATGTGACTGCCTCGGTTACGCGCTATCATTGTATTTGTTTTTGTCATTTTCATTCATTTTTGGCGACCCTACGCCACTTACTTACGAGAGAAGAGTTGCTTTGCATTAGGGAGTCTACGCTCTGACTTTTTTCACCAGCACACGAAAACCCACAAGGTTTTTCGGAGTTAATAGCAAGCGGCTGCACTGTACGAAGCATGGAAGCGAGCCGGCGTCCTAGTCAAGTGACGTCAGCGTGGATTTCGAAAACATTTCCTATCGATCCATCTTGATAATCTATGTTAGTGGTCCTCAACTAGAAATGCTGTAGGTCCATTTTTTTTTTTTTTTAATAAGACCAAGGTCCGGTCCCATGCACGGCGGTCATGGGGAGCAGGGCTATATGCCCATTTAGTATGGTCAAGCCAAGCTTATACAAATCAACACTCCTCACAACCAACCAATAATGGGGTGCATGAAAATAACTATTATTCACTTTGCCAGTACACAGCAAATAATGAGAGGTATTGTGTTGAGGCACAGGAACTCTTTTATTTTGTTAAGTTGTGCCTGCTTAATAATAGAAATAGCCCTTTTAGGGAAATAAGACATTTTTACTTTAACTTTGTTAAACAGTAGCTGTCTTTTTTTCCCCTTATTTTAACAAAAACAAAACAAAATACTCATTTTACCAAAATAAATACTCAACATGAAAACAAAAATATCCTTTTCATTTGTACAATTCCCCTTTTCACATCCCCTCTGAAATCACTGAAAAATATATCAGAAGAGGAGTTAAGAACCATTTTAAA